TGACCACAAAAGAGAAAATAAATTTATTTATCTCTGATATGATAGATTATTATATTATATCATTTATTTTCTCTTTAGTAGAAAAGTTAACATGGTTTGAACATTAATATATATAGCTTTATTACATAATTTTCTAAAATCTGCATTTTTTCTAAAATATATTTTTTATTGTTAAGTTTTGCGTGTTTAATTTCATTTAATATTTTATATACAGTCCAGTCAGTTGCAACAACAATTAAAGCAGCAGCCAAGTACACATGTAAGTGGTTAATTGATTTATTTTGGTGTTTTTCTTTAACATTTAGATTTTCCTAAAATAATAATTAAGTTAATGACTATTTCTGTAAAGATCATTCTGTAAATAAAAATTGCAATGATTTTTAATGCTAATAGTTATTTTTTTAGTAATCACATAATAAACTGCAAACTCTGTACTTTTAGATATGATTCTAATAGTTGAACATCTCTCAGATATTAACTTTTTAAATCATAATCTAATTGCTCTGTCTTATGAAAAGCTATTTATAAAAACTCAACGCTTAAAAAATAATGTAAGAATAAAGGCTGTTTTATTTGAAAGATACGTTGATAATTGGTTTAAGTCTTTAAAGTTTAAATCAGTTAAAAGAGAGTTCAAATTGTTCTGTTTTTATCTTATGCTCTATATCTACAAGCTATTGAAATATTTATTGCATTATTGTTCATTTATTTTATTATGTTACGAAAAACCTACCAAGCCTAAAATTTTACGTATATATTTTTATACGTATATCATCCTTCGGAATTAGAAAAATTAAAGTCAGCAAAAAAAGTTAAAAAACTAAACGACTAAACTTATTTGAAACACTTTTAACAAGTTTAGTTACATGTTAATGCTATGAGTGTATGTACCTTTAATCAAATTAGTGTTAACATTTCAGCAAAATGTCATATCGCCAGGCTGTTTAGTTGGAAGAACCAAAAACTTGATATTTTATTGAATTGTTATTTTAATTTGTGATATTATAATTTTTATTCACAAAATGTTAAATAATTTACTTTTTAAATTTATTTGTCATTGCTTTGGATAACATGTTTTGTTATTCATTTTACAGATTGTTATGAGGATTGCAAAAGTTTTAAATAACAAAAACTGAAGAAGGCATTGATAATCAGCAGATAACAAAAAGGTGCAAAAGTACTGATTTTACAACTCTTTTAAAGGTTTCATTTTAATTTGGTAATGTTTATATAGAAACTAATAACATTTAAACAGAAAATAATAACATATAATTTATCCATAATTTTTCATTATTCTAATCTAAATTACTTTTTTTTTTCAATTTTTTCAGAGTTAATATTACTTTTTTAATGCAATTACAGTAGAAATGGTTAATTATAGAAAAATTGCACTAAAAATTGAATAAATTGCTTGTTAAAGCAAATAATATATATATAAATATATATATACATATATATATATATATATATATATATATATATATATATATATATATATATATATATATATATATATATATATATATCATATATATATATATATATATATATATATATATATATATATATATATATATATATATATATATATATATATATATATATATATATATATATATATTAGGGTGATGCAAAATTTGTAGGTTCAAAACTTTAGTTGTCCTCAAGCTTGCCCTTGTTCTATATGACAATAGTAGTTATTGGCCAAAATTTGAATCAAATCGGATGATATTTAGGGGTTGCCATGTTTTGTCACATTTTGGTATAAGGTTACAAAAAGTAAAAAAAATATTTTTTATTTTTACATTTTTTATATTATATTACTGAATTATTTATTATCAATTTCTTATTATTATGTGGTGGATTGTGGATGTTCGATGTTAAAAAAATCAATACTATAGTACTACTATGTAATTGCACTATGCAATAATAAATCAATCATCTTCATCATTCAACAGTCATCTTCATCAGGGTAGACTTTGATGCAACTGGAAATTCCTTCCGGTGAAGATCAACCAATAATAAGAAGAAACTGCTTTTGGTTTTCATCTTTCGTAACGCTTGAGTTAAAGGATGTTATAAGTGCTATGCCTCGTTCCGCGCAATCGTTGACCACTTTCTTTTGACCAACCTTGTGCTTCATTTCAAGAAATGTTGAATCCATTTCCCACTCTGAAGATTCTTTCATTAAAAATGATTCAGCTTTTTCTTTTCCATTTTTCAAAATTAGATCGAAAAGTTCTGCGGTGCGTTGTGTGACGAAGGAAGGCAATGGGCTGTGACAATCGAATGTGGCAGCATCATGTCTTTTGAGAGATTTCTGCCTTGGCTGTTGTTTCAGGTTGTTTGCCATTTCTCTCTTGGTGTTGTTGTTGACGCGGGAATCGAAGAAAGCCAATCCTATTAGATGTTCAGAAAAATACCAGAGGTGGCGATGAAAAGCTTTTGCTGCATTAATTGCAATTGTACGATTTGGATATTCTTGAATCCGTTGAAGAAGCTTGGCATCATTGAATGGTGCTCGTTCAGCTAACGGAGCTTCATTCCAAAACTGTCCGTATACAAATGCCACAAAAAGACTTATATCTGTTATTCCTTTCTTTTCCTTTGCAGTAATAACAAATTGATCCTGAAACAAATATATCTTTATACAATATATAGCTTTTGCCATCCAACGTGCATTGTGTGTTGCACCTGGAGCCCGAAACTTCACTTTGAACTCCGATGTTGTAGTTGATCCTCCAAGAAAAATAAGGCACAAATTCAAGAGTTCTAAGTAATCATCCCTGGGTTGTTGACCTTTAATTGCTTCACTATAATATACTACCATTTCTTCACGGAGTTTGAGAAAAAAATCGCAGTTGTAAAATTCTTTATTCCCTATAGTGAACACCTCCTTGTTGATTGCTGGCCATTGTTTCTGGAAACGGTAAAAAATTCCAACTTCAGGTCCTCAACTGGTTCCAAATGCAGTCGTGAAAATGGTGGAAAGCATGACTTCAAACATATGGTGCCTGCATGCTATCCATATAAGATTACGGTCAAGATTCTGCTCCATTATTGTGCAGGCACCAATGTTCAACCCAGTGTTAGATGAAGTAGTGTCAAAAACCAGTCCCCGAACAAGTTCTTTCAATTTCCAGTCTTTAAGAGCCTTCATGCAAGCATCAGCCTGTTGCTCACCTGTACCTCGATCAATCTTTGGAACGCCCAGCAATTTTTCCACCCCACCACCAGTCACAAGGATGGCAATTCTATCCACTTTTTTTTGACCACCAGTGATATCAGGTAAGAGCTTTCCATCCCAATGCAGAAGAAGTGGATCATCAGGAGAGAAATCAACCTTGTCAGCTGTAGTCACCGCTTCACGAACAGATCGCCTTTTTCTGCGGATTGTGCTGTACGACAATGATAAATCTTTTACCGAGTGACCAAGAGCCTGAGACACTGTTCCAACCACGAAGAGTGCACGGCGATCAGAAATATTAACACGATCAAGAGATGATACAACATTATTTGTTAGAACTTTCATCTTCTTTTTCGTTGAACCACTTGTGCTCAGTGTGCTGGAAGCGGAAGGAGTCTGATATACATCATCATCCGAGGAGCTAGAGCTACTTTCACTCACAATGTCAACTGCTGATGAAGAAGAAATGAGTTCTGTTTTTTCTATCAGTTCCGTTTGACTTCTTTGACGCCTCAATTCCATTTTAGTTTCTCAGACTCGTTTCCGTGCCTCCCTAGCTGTTAAATTCCGATCAATTCCTGCCATACTACAACTTAATGGATCTTCTTGCTGCTGACGTAAAAATGCTTTATCTTCATCGTTTTTCATAACTTCTGATGCATTTTTGGTTGAAATATCAAAAAGTTCTTCAAGGTCAGCGTGGAAAATTCCTTCTTTCATTTGACAGCTGTCCAATTTTGATCCTCGGTGTTTTTTCAGCAGCAGATATTCGTCATAAAGTTTTTTTAACTTTCTTTCCGCATTGTCAATTCTTTGAGTTGGAATTTTTCCTCTCTCCCATATAACAAAAACTGCTTCAATTGTTGCCCGAATACTTTTTTTCACTCCTTGTTTCTCTTCTATATGATGGAAGAGCAACCTCCGAAGAACATCCCCTCTTGAAGGAAGTCTGGCAGTCGACAGAGTTTGTGTAGGTTTACCAACAAGCCACACCTCAGCAGAAGATCTAGTGGTTGCCATATTATCAATTTCTAAATTATAAATAAATAAACAATGAAAAAACAAATTTGCGAAATTTGAGAAAATCACAAAATTTTACCAATGGTTAATTCATCTTATAAAACATGGCAACCCCTAAAATTGCTTCTTTTAGTCTAATTTTTGGTACACATGATCCTAGGTGATAAAGGAACACAGGCAACCTTGAGGAGAAAGTTATATATATATATATATATATATATATATATATATATATATATATATATATATATATATATATATATATATATATATATATATATATATATATATATATATATATATATATATATATTATAAATTTAAAAATAATAGTTTTATTTAGTTTGTTCTAATTTTTATTTATAAAAAAAAAGAAGCAAGTTTTAATAAGTAAATGAATAACCATTTTAACGGTATAGTAAAATAGTTCTTATTTTTCAGTTGAGGAAGAATTTTATGTTAATGTTAATGCAAAAGGTACGAATATTAACAGGTTAGCTAATTTGATGTTACAATAAACATGAAATAAAGTATGTAAAGTATGTGAAGACCTTAGTGCTAGAAGTACTTGCATGCATTATTTATGCATGCTATATTATAATAAAGCATGCATGGATGATGCATTCTAGTATAAAAAAGTTACAAATGTTTAATTATACAAAAAGAATATGGATGTAGTAGCACAAGTATATTCAATTTACTATGCAAGTAAGTTGTCCTACTTTACATATTTGGAAACTAATAATAATTGTAATGAACATATCTCAAACAGTATACACTCGGATTAACCTTGTCTCAAGCATTCAATTGCATTTTAAGATATCTTTATTCAAATCAAGTGTGATTACTATACCAAAAGATTGAAGAATGGACCAATCAAGTAAAATGTCTAAATTTACATCTTTTATATAGAACTCCTTTACTTTCAGATAAACCTGTTAATTATATGACTTATGAATATATTTAACAATGTCAGAACAGACTTTTTAAAATCAAATTTACAATGCTTTAGTAAATTTTTATTTAAATAACTTTGCATACATAATATATCTATATTTACATTGTAGCTAACCCATCAGTACTTGCAAAGTCTCCTTATCTGTTAGCCCGAAAATTGATTTTTAAAATACCATTATTCACATAACTACTATATCAAAACACAAACTAATGGATTGATCAAGTAATACTTAATTTTAAGTTTGAATTGCGTGTTAGAACATATATAATTTTGATATATAAATTATAATTATTATATTTATTGATTGGTTTTTAACTTTAAGAATTTTAAAAATTACGATTTTTTTTTTACATGTTTATTTATATTGTAGTGAAACTGCCGCTATCTCCACAACTTTTCAATTGAATAGAAAGTTTCAATCAAACAGGATACTGTGTGTGCCTACTGCTCCTTAAGACAATCGATAATGGGAGTTACCAACTTTATATATATATATATATATATATATATATATATATATATATATGTATATATATATGTATATATTTATATATATATATATATATATATATATGTATATATATATATATATATATATATGCTGTACCGATATTGTTATAAAGTAATAGAATACTATATAATAATATTGCATTACTATGTTTAGGAAGGGTACTTCAGTTGCCCTACAGTTATGCAACTTATTAGTTATCAACCCATAACTGCGATAAATACAAGTTTTTTTAAAAAGGTTTTTATTATGTAAATGTTATATATTTTACAGAGTTTTAAATTAAAAGTCTTCTATTAATTGTTACTATAGTTACTCAATGTAAACTGTACTAATGTACAATCTTCTAAAATCTATAAAACTATGGATTTATAAAGTTGTTAAATGAATGATTTAAATGAATAGAATGAAGATGTTTATTGAGTTAATTTTATTATTTTTAGAAAATAGGTTGTATGACTTCGGTATCCGCAAAACGGTATTGTGCATTGGTTCCCTTTCGTATAGGTGAAAATAGGAAAGGTTATGTCCTTTTTTCTAATTCTTAAGAAGAAGAGGCTTAATCGGTTTAAGCAATGATGACGATGATCATTATGGGGCTGATCATGATGACGAATACGATAATCCATATAATAATAAATAAAAATTGATTTTACTTAAATGACTTTACTTGTATTTTAGACTTAAATAAATAAAAAATTATTTATTTAACGTTTGAATTGTTTATGAATATTTAGATAATGCGTTCAGCGTTTAACTTTTCTTTACGGTGCTTATTTAAAACATAAAAGAAAGGTTTGATTCGTTTATCAGTATTTCTTTTATTTATGCTTCTTTAAATAAACACCGTAAAATAAAGTTAAACGTCGCGAAGTTTAAAACGAAAGATTTAGATGAAGTTTAAATAGTTTTTAAAACAAACCATTTAGATATGGTTTAAATGGAACATTCGATTGACCTACGTTCTAGATCGAAGCTAAATTAAATCTAAACATTTAGAACGAACATTACCTAAACGTTGATTAAATGTTCCAATGCCCGCTGGGATTCTAATAAAGACACAAACTATTTATTTATTACTATTGTAGTAAATACAATCTATTATCCGTGAAAATGATATATCTGTACCAGTTTTATATATTTTTATGCCTTTGTATGCAACATAATTAAAATAAATCAAAAAATGTAAGATAAATGCAAAGGGAAACTTGATGCATATTTTGTCAAAAACTGACGTCAATGCGTCATATCCTTTTGGCTTCATAATTGTAAGAATGAATTTTTTTTATGACTATGTTTTAGATCTTCTTAGTTCCCTTTGTATAACGTCATATACTAACGTCTGTAAATGTAAACGTCTTTAGCATATGTCGAGTTTCCAGGCAATATGCGGAATAATCGCGTATCTATATATCTATAAAATGAGAAAACTTTAAAATTTCATTTTTAATTTTAGAAATCTTTTTTGCTATATTATTGTTTTTTTGCTATAAATATATAAGCAAGATTTAAAAAATTTTAAAACTTATAACTCTTAGAGGAGGTCCAAAACAACACTGATGACAGCTCACTTAACCACTAAGCTATCAATGAATTGAATTTAGCAGAGAAACAAACCTAATTACAAGTCTCTTATAAGCTCTACGTATGCGAAAAGGTGGCATGTTTAGTTTTTTGCTATTAAATTTTTTTTCAGAAAAAATTGCTTTACTAAAAAATATTGAAGTAAATAAGGAATAGGTATAAAATAATTGGTGAGAAATTGAAATCGGTTTGAAATAGATTTACAAAGACCCGTATTTCTAAGGGTCCGATCTCAGCTAGTATATAAATTTATATTAATGATATTATACTTTTTTATTTACTTCAATAATATTACTATGATTTAATCTAAATATTAATAGCCGAATGAATATTATTAGTGCGCATAGTTACGCATTGTAACGCCTATTGTTCGTTTTGTTAATTACGGTTCTGCTTTCTAATTGTTAGTTTGTTGTTGCTTATTTTTATTTTTTCTAACTTTTATAGCCTGTTTTTATTTTTTAGAATAAGTTAGAACTAAAATGTTTGGTAAAATAGTTTTTTTAGTAAATGTTTCTTTTTTAGTAAACTGTTTCATTTTGTCGTTAGTCTTTTTAGAACATTTTAAGCAAGTATTGTTTTAATTTTTAGAGCAGTTAAGATAAGCTGATGGTTTTTTTAGTAAGTTCAATTCGTTTTCTTATTTATAGATTAAGATTGTTTTTTGCAAAAAGAATTATATATAAAATAAAGTTCTATATATATATATATATATATATATATATATATATATATATATATATATATATATATATATATATATATATATATATATATATATATATATATATATAAGTTAAATAAATTAAGACTGTTAGTTGTATTCATGTAAGCTTATATACATAAGTTTGCGTTTATTTTAGTCTATTTTATATTTCTCTATATCTATACTATATGTATATTTTCTCTTAGCAAAAATTATTGAGAATAGAAAAATAAAAAAAATTCTTCTGGAATTTGACAAAAGAATGTTGTGTTATGCTTCATTTTAAGGTATCTAAATATGTATTTATTTTTCATTTTTTAGACGAAGTTAGAACTAAATAGACTGCTAAAATAGTTTTATTAGTACAATGTTTCTTTTTTAAGAAAACTGTATCAGTTTTGTCATAAGTCTTTTTAAAACATTTTAAGCAAATATTTGCTTTATTTTTTAGAGCAGTTAAGAGTAGTTGATTGCTTTTTTATTAAGTTTAATTCATTTTTTCATACATAGGATAAGATTTTTTTTCATCAAAAGAATAATGAGAATAAAATTTTATTTATGTATTTAATATGAAAAGTTAAATATAGTAAGACTGTTATTTGTGGTCATGTAAACTTATATACATAAGTTTGCATTTATTTCAGTCTGTTTTATATTTTTCTATATTTATATGTATATTTTCTCTAAAGAAAAATAGTAAGGAATAGAAAAATTAAGAAAAATTGTTCTAGAATTTGTCAAAAGAGTGTTGTGTTATGCTTCATTTCAAGGTATCTAAATATATATTCATTAGAAATTTTTAATTTTGTTTTTAAATGATTTATTCTTTTTCATTACTTTAGATAAATATATACTGACTGACATAACTTCATTTTTATTAACAATGTTGTGCATTTTAGTCTGCATTCTTTGTTACATTAAAAATAATTGATGCTAATATAAGTTGTTTTATAGTTGTTAAAAGTTTGCATATATGCTTGCCTGTATAATATGCCCAAAGTTAAAATTTTTTTGATAAATACGCGTATGTGGTGATATATGTTATATAGTTGTTTTATAAATGCGTTTATATAAATGTGTTTTTGTAATAGTATGAAATGTATTATATCTAATTTGTCCAAGATTGTTAAATGGGGTGTTTTTATATGCTAAGTAACATTAAAAAAATATATTGTGTTTTATAATTAGTATATATGTTTATATAATGTTGTTTCCATTATTTCAAAGTGGAGTGACTTGGCAAACGTGTAGAGCAAGATTTATCAGTCAAGCGATGTTACTGCTTTAGGTCTAAGTGTTGCCTAGCCTTTCATATAACTATTCTGAAAACACATTGCATTATCTTTAATAATTTTTCGCGTAATGTTGTTACCTTTGGCTTATCTTTACGTTGGTGTCAGCTGTTAAAAATGTTTAATGGATAGTTTCATTACAAGAACTCACTGCTTTTATTTATTTACTAAAATTCGTTCAAGACATCATTTCACTATAAATACATTTTGTTTATCAGAAAAAAACAATATTTAGCAACAACTACCCAGGTATCACAACAGCTTATCTCTATCAGGTACATTGATTTTCTATTCACATATGATGATTTTTTTTGTATTTACTTATTCGTTACATTTTTAACTTCAGATTTATAGTGATTTTATTTGCTATAGAAGAACAAATCATTATGAATTTTTTTAAAATATATATCTACTCCAGTCAACATTCAAAGTTTAATGTTACATATACCATTTTTAAGTAGCTTCTAAGCTTTTTTGATGCTTTTCTTATTCAAGTGGTTTTATAAGCAAGGTCTGCAAGCAAATTTGAGCTGAAAAGTTTTAATAAATAAATGTTTGTTTGTTCTTGGTTTTTTACTTTTTTTGTTTTTAGATTCTTAAGAACTAGGCAACTTGGCCAACCAAGATTTATTTTATTTTTTAGTGCAATTGGAAAGAGCTAAAGTGCTTTTTAGTCACTTCAAATCATTTGTTTCCTTTTTTAAATAGAAGGGTTAATAATAAAAATATTTAGACAGTCGAATTGTTACTGATTTGAGTAAGTTTAATGTTTTGTTTTACTTTATATTAGACATATATTTTATGTATTTAACATGGAAAACTGAGTGTAATTTTTGACAGGTAAGTTTATATACATAAATGTGCCTATATATCAGAATATTTTATATTTCTCTGAATCTATATAAATATTATCTCATAGAAAAAATTAAAAAGAATAGAAAAAATTTGAATATATATACATTCATATATGTATTACTTTAGACTGACATTGCTTCATTTTTTATACAAGATTCTGCATTTATTATTTTTGTGGCACAATCTTTTGATTAAGATTGTGCCTGAAGGTAAAAATAACTTTGAATTGTAGTCTAAATTCTTTTCTAAATTAAAATAATGTCAATAAATTTTGTTTTATATTTTTCAATTGTAAAATTATAAAACGTTCATTTATTCAGTTGTAACAGTAGTATAATCACTGGTAATATATTTAATGATAACAGATGTATAATATTAGGCTCGAAGAAGTTATCAGTGTAAATGGTTATAGGTGACTTAAAATTGTTGTCATATGAAAGAAATAGATCTAGGCGTGATAAAATTAATTGTTGTTGAAATATAAGAAATTTTGCTTGATGAACAGAAAACTTACTTGCCAGAATTCAGTGTCAAGCGGTGTTGATGTCTATTTTTTGATTTTACATCAGACACTTTAAAATAAAGCAAAGTATGAATTTTACTATTTATAGTAACAAATAATAACAGTTTCAATTTTAAATGATTTTATTTTATTTTTTTAATTTTTTTTTTGTAATCTAAAACATAATTGTGTTCATTTTGAAATTTACAATATTTGTTCATTTGTGAAATTTACAATATTAATCATTTGTCAACAGTTAGAGAGAAATTTCTTTAATTAAGAAATGCTGGAAATTAACTTTTAGTTAAGGTAAAAATAATTTTGTTTATTGGTAGCATAATCAAACCAGTTACTGTTATTTATTACATGACTTTTTTACTTTTTCTAACGTGCTGTTTTTAAAACACTTCCTCTCTCTTAGATGAGACTTAAATAAGAATTAGTATTGAGAATTGTAGAGAGAGAATTGATTAAACTCGTGTAATTACTGAGCTCTTGCGTATTTTTTAATACTGCGATTGATAGTTTGCTATTTAAAGATATAATTCTTTAAATTGTCCCTTGGTTGTTCAAATATTGTAATAAATAAAATCTTTTTAGTTTTAAGTATTTTTTTTAGGGATCGTCATATATTAAGTAACGCGGAATTAAACATATAAACAAAAGAAATATCTCAAAAACCGTGTTTCTCTCATGGTCAACTATATGCTGCATTTTCAAGAACTAGAGCATTTGATAGTTTGTTATTCAAAATTGATAAACATCTTATTCA